CCTCTAGGTGAGAAAATGGAGAGGCTGAGCATCTCACCTCCTTCCTCCCTTGCTTCTATGGGTAACTAACTCCCTTTCTAGGGAGGTGATGAAGCCCTTCTTTGTAAGCATGCCTTAGTTTTGTTTAATTTGGGGAATGAAGTATATATGTGATAGTTTCATAATCTAGAGCTCTACATATGTTATAATGGATTTTAATGTCTATAAATGATCATTTTGAGTTTGTTATCTTGTCTTAGATTTTATCCTCTCATGATTATATAGCTTGCATCTTCATAGTGAGAATGGAAATGAGATTGTGAAATGGATTTCATGGCATGTTGTATGAGAAGCTTGATAGTCCCTGGCTTAGGGCCTTCCTTTGATGGTCTATTCTTGATTTTTGATTTCATGTGCTACTACCATATTTATTGGGGGGTTTGATAGTCTCTAGCTTGGTGAACATGTCAAGAGCTACACCTTAGTTTAGGTAGTTCAAGCATGTAAAACTTTGATAGACTATGCTCACTTTTTGATTCTATGAATTTCTTGAACCATGTGTTGCTACATATCATTGCCACTTATATATGTTATTTCCCAAAGTTAATCACAATCTAGCATGTTTATATGGTAGGTAGTGGATTCACTTCCTTAGCCCTCTTTACATAAATTTTTCTCCCTTAAATTCCTTACATTTATTGTTTTATGCAATTTTCAATTCTAGTTTATAAGTGACAAACCAAACAAAACCTTACACCTCTATCATCAAACAAAGTGATTTTAAAGACCTTGGTTGCCATAAACTTGCAGTTCTTGTGGTTCGACTTACCCCCATGATAGCCCTATTTTATAATGATTGTAAGGGTTGATTATTATTGATAGCATATAGCGACGCCCACCATCTCTGTTTCCTTCTACCTTCTAAACTCCCTAAAGTGTCCTCACTCATTCACATACCTTCCTAAAGCATTGTTCTCATCATTCCAGAGTGTAGCAACCCATGAATACTTAAACTTTTTCAAATCTGCATCCGATCTTCAAACTTGAAATTTTGAGCCAAAAAATTACAACTCGATCGGTCTTGTTTTGACAACGAAATTAACCAATTATAAAATATATCTCACAATGTATGCCAAAGTTCTTGAAGTTTTGACATCTTAGTTTGATACCTATGAATGGTGGCTTTGAAACAACATGCTTTACCAATGCAAATTAGACCATAATCTACCTTCTCCATGAGAAATTCCACCATCTTTTGATTTTATACCCATCAGTCCTTTTGGACAATTTGTTTTATACCCATCAGCTCGCTTGGGCACGCAATCTTTATAATCATTAGCTTTTATTTATTTATTTATTTTTAGTACCATCTCTAAATTTTATAGTCACCAGTCCTTTGGGAATTTTTTTTTTCATATCCCTATCAACTATATGGGGCACTGTTTCTTTGATTTTAATTACCATAATTTAATTTTGTAACCATCAGCTATCGAGGGCACAATCTCTCTTTTCTTTTCTTTTATTATTATTTTATATGTACCCATCAGCTCTGTCGGGCAATGTTTTTTTTTTTTTTTTTTTTTTTTTTTTTTTTTTTTTTTTTAATACCCATAATTTGATTTTGTAACCATCAGCTCTCAAAGGTACAATCTTTCTTTTCTTTTTTTATTATTATTTTTTTATATATATACCCATGAACTCTGTCGGGCATTGTTTTTTTAATTTTAATACCCATCATTTGATTTTGTAACCATCTGTGCGCTCTCCAGAGCACAATCTCTCTCTTTATTTTTTATAACCATCAGCTCTCAAAGGTACAATCTTTCTTTTCTTTTTTTATTATTATTTTTATATATATATACCCATGAACTCTGTCGGGCATTGTTTTTTTAATTTTAATACCCATCATTTGATTTTGTAACCATCAGCTTTCAAGGGCACAATCTTTTTATTTTTTATTTTTTTATATACTAATTAGCTCTGTCGGGCACTGTTTCTTTGATTTTAATACTCATCATTTGATTTTTTAACCATCTGTGCGCTCTATAGAGCACAATCTCTCTCTTTATTTTTTATTTTTTTTTAATTTTTTATATATACTTATCAGCTCTGTCAGGCACTGTTTTCTTTGATTTTAATACCCATCATTTGATTTTGTAACCATCAGCTCTCAAGGGCACAATCTTTTTATTTTCTATATACCCATCAGCTCTGTAGGCCACTGTTTTTTTGATTTTAATACTCATCATTTGATTTTGTAACCATTAGCTCTTAAGAGCACTAACCATCATTTGATTTTCTAACCATCATACATATATATATATAGAAAACCATCAAATGATTTTGTAACGATCATCATTTTTTTATATGACCATCAGATTATCACTTATTTCTTTTGATGAGTCATGATTGTATTTTTATTTGTGTATATATATATAAAACCAATGTCACATTTTGTACTTTCAACTATCGGCTTCTTAACTCCAGTGCATCAACCATGGTGTTTTTTAAATTCTTCAAGAAGAGAACCCTAACCATCATTGAAAGGGAAGGTGACCCTCAAGAAAAAGGAACAACATTAGATGCGGGTACAACATTTATCGACAATTTCTCTTTTCATTTGCTAAGGTCATCATCAGATGCTCAATATTTCCTATCCCAATGGTCAAGGGTATCGTCATGCAAGCTCACCAATCTCAGATTTAATGGGAATAGTGAGAACATATCCATGCATTGATATTGGATTTAGCACTCCATAAAAAGGCCGATAAACCTAAACAATTTGCACTCTTGGAACATAAAGTGCATGCTAATAAGGTATGGTACGTGGAGTAATTCTTTGAAAGTTTCAGCAAAGTTGTTATATACTGAAGGATATTTTGAGTGGACAGAGGACATTATGGTCCGCCACAACAATTTCCTTAAAAAAAAAATAAGACTACAAGAAAATTGATGTTTTACTACTGTAATTGACGACATGCATAAACAAGAAGCCTTCTTATGTGCTAATTTACGACTTCTGTTTTAGGCAAGTCATTAAAAGCTAAAACATGGTTATATTAATGGCTTGCACTTAATTGTCCTTTGAATTTTCCTTTTAAAGCTGTATTTTCTATTATAACGACTTATATGCTATATTGTTAATATTTGGCCCAAAATTTCTTCAAAGGCCACCACTTTCCCTCTAATATTTGGATCCAAAATTCCTTTGAAGACCCATTTTCCCTCCTAGATGACTTAAAGGAAAAAATTTTCTCACACAATAAGCCAGTAATAAACACGATTGTTTGCTCTCCCTTTATAAACCCTAAATGTACTTGCTTCAGTATTAAAAAATAAAATAAAAAATTTAGCCATTTTCGGCAGAGTCCTCGTCTACACCATCACAGGAGAAAGGGGATGTCATCGCCTCTTTCCCGGCTTCTACTAGATAAATATATCTTCTTTACTCAATACGCTCTTTCAGATTTTCAGTTCCTATCAAATTGGCATGCGATCTCTCAAACAGAACATGGTAAGATTTCCTCTACTTTTTTCTTTCCCAAATTTTTCTAGTTTTTTTGGATTTGTTGTGTATGTATTTAGATTCGTATATGAATTACATATTGCTTCGTGTGAAAATTGGATGTGTCACCTACAGAAAATCCATATAGCAGAACCCTGAATATATTCTTAGGATTTAAAAGGTCGAAGGAATGTATAATTCACACACATACATATATATGCATAGTGGGAAGCTGTTGTTTGGACTTGAGACTTGGCCAGTCACGGGATAAAGGAAAAGGTATTCCTGGGAAAAGGAGGGGACGGAAATGAAGAAATTGAGATGGGCAATGGATGGGAGTTTCTGGGACCTGGATATGTCGACGCCGGCGACCCTCGACGGACTGGCTCGACCAGTTCCCGGTGACACACTTCCCTTGGGTTTGACCAGAGGCGTCAGACTTTCCGGACCCAAGCAGATCGATTTCTTCCAGCGCTTTATGGCAATGCCCTTTGTCCCTTCCTACATCTCCAACGACTCAGCTGGTGGCGGTCACGGCTTCTCTCTACAGCGTGTCCTCACTCTTCCCTTTGGTGAACACTGGTAATATCCTCCATACCCACTTGCATAATTTCTTGGTCACAACCTATATGTGTGTTTGTGTGTGTGAGATTGTGAATTTTATGCATACCCAATTACATTTTAGTTCAATTAGCTTAAATAAATTTGGGAACTTGGGTTCATGGGTAGCCTGTTTGGATTAATTAGCAAATTCGAAGATGAGTTATTGATGGGTATGCTGGTTTTGACTAGCCCTGGACAGAGGTTATCTTTTGTCTTCCTTCTTTCTCACATTGGAGTCATATATATCTATATGTAGAGCTTTGTGAATTTTATGTATACCTCATTACTGTTTGAGCTCGGTAAACTTAAATAGAGTTGGGAAATTAGGCTCATAGCTGTCCTGTTTGAACTAGTTAACAAATTCGAACTCGAGCTATTGATGGGTTTGTTGGTTCTGACTAGCCCCAAGGCATAGTTATTAAAAGCCCAAGGCGTACTGAGGCGCTAGAGGTCCCTTGGAGCCTAGGCGCGAGCCTGAGTGATGTGAGGCGCACAAGTAAAATTTTAAAACAATAATTGTTAACAAAAATAACACAATTAAACAATGAACATCCAATAATAAAAACACTAAATTAGTCTAAATATATCACAATTAAACCAATAAAGCAACTAGAAAAATAGAACAATTAAACTAATAAAGCTATTTATTCATAAGAAAGATTCAAAAAAAGCAAAACATAAACCAATTAACCATATATTATAAATTTATACTTGATGTCTTGGGCAAAAGCTATCATTTGACTCCAAAATAGATCCATCAAAAGATACTTAGTAGCCTACCAAATCTATAAAGTATCATAGTCAATACTTAGTAGCCTACCAAATTTATAAACCAAGCAACAAAATATCAGTTTCAGTTTTGAGTTTTAGCAAGGACTCTTAAAACCAAAGTTACCAAACAATCTTAAAGGACCTAAATAACATCCTCTTCACCAAACAACATAGTCTCATCATCGTCCCCATCAAAAGATTTGTAACCCTCGGCATCTTCTTCCTCTTCTGTGTCCTCAGAGTTTGCCTCGTCATCATCTATGATTCGTAGTGAAGACGAGCATGAAGGTGTTGTCCTCTTTGTTGCCCTTGGAGCTGATCTTGATCTTAAATTATGGCTGGACTCTCCAGCCCCGGTAGCTCTAGCAACTGCACCCCATGTCAAAGAGTCATCTTCAAACACCAACTCATTTTCGGCATCTACATCTTCATCCATTATTCCAACCAACCACTCATTGCTATCATCTATATCATTTAAAAGGATTGGATCGATCCTATCACGCATATCATATCGTCATTTTAGTGCTCTATTATACTTGATGAAAACCAAATCATTCAATCGACATTGAGTTAGTCGGTTCCTCTTCTTGCTATGAAGCTGCATTAATTCAAATAATTAATAAGTATAAGTGTATAACTATTTATAATATAATTTTTTATCATTGAATTACTAATACTACAAACTTACATGTTCAAATACACTCCAATTTCGTTCACACCCAGATGCGCTACATGTGAGGCTAAGTACTTTAATAGCAAATTTTTGCAAATTAGGAGTTGTAGAACCATATGCGGACCACCAATCGGCTGTTATTTACATATTATTAGTAAAAAATTAACAAAATTAAAATTCAAATATACTAAAAAATGATTAATTGAGTTGTTTACCTGGTGCCCTTGACTTTCTTTGTCTAATAGCAATTGATGAGCTAAATAGACCATTAGCTTTCATATATCTACTCAACTCCAAAGAAATTTTATCTTGCACTTCAGTGGTTGGAACCAATCTTTCTATGCATTGATATAAACCACCCATCACCTCTTCATCTTGCTTAATACTTGGATTGCTATAAAAATATTCTGGGTTTAAGAAATGCCCAGCTGCATGCAAAGGGCGATGGAGTTGGATATTCCACCTTCTATCAATGATCTCAAAGATGTCCTTATACTTCTCCTCATTTCCACCAAAAGCTTTAGCTATCGCTTCTTTAGCCCTTTCCATAGCCTCATAAATATATCCCATTGGAGGCCTTCTCTCACCATCAACCAACTTAAGTACACGAACAAGAGGGCTTGCTACTTTGAGAGAGTACACAATGCTTGTCCAAAATGAAGGCATCAACACAATATGTGCTACATTTTTCCCTTGTATCTCTTTCGCCCATTTACTGGAGGTCCATTATTGTGAAGTGAACATCTTCCTCAAGCAATCCTTTTGATGATGGATGCTTGATAATGTGATAAATGAAGTGGCAAATCGAGTCGTTGCAGGTCTAAGCAACTCTTTATGTCCAGTATAACGCCTCATCATGTTTAACAAACCCGAACGGTTATAAATATAACCATTTAACATTATAGCTCTCTTTATGGTCATCATTATATTTGGGATCTTAGCAATGTCCTCTAACATTAGGCCCACACAATGTGCAGCACAAGGTGACCAATACAAATGTCGGTGCCTTCCCTCCAACATTCTCCCTATTGTAAAGAAAGAAAATTAGGATTAATAGAAGGCTAGAAGCAATAAACCTAAAATTTTCACATCAAGTACATATTGACATTTATACCTGCCACAACATTAGAAGATGCACTATCAGTGACTACTTGAACCACATTTGTTACTCCAATTTGCTGCATGAACTTGTTAAGCAAGTCGAACATTTTTTCACCGGTCTTTGAATAAGAGGAAGCATCGACAGATTGAATGAACATTGTCCCTTTAGGACAATTCACCAGAAAATTAATCAAACACCTCTGTCTTTTATCCTCCCATCCATCTGCCATAATTGTGCATCCGTATTTTGCCCATTCCTCCTTATGATCCCGCATTAAATTGTTTGTATGCTCCAGTTCTTTCTTGAGGAGGGGAACTCTCACCTCATGATAATTGAGGTTTCATTCCTGGACCATGTTGGCCAATAGCTTCAACAATTGGTGCAAAACTATCATAATTAAGGGCATTGAATGATATCCCGGCATCATACATCCATCTTGCAAACTGTTGGCATGCTCGGTTTCTAAGTTCTTTCTTGCAAGCACTGTCAATTGTTGTTTGCTTACCCTTATCATTTTTTCTATTTTGCACAGCCACTTCCGGAGGAGGGGTGAAGTACAAATCAATAGGACCTTTCTGTTTCTGCTTTTTTAATTGAATATTATTGCTTCCAGTTCCACTTGCCACTCTTTTACCCTTAACATCAATAATTGCAACATCATCCTCATCTTGATCATCCATGTCATCAAAATCTGGCAACAAATTTGCGTATTCCTTTTCTTCTTTCTTCTTGCTCATGTATTCTCTAATCTCCTCTTTTACATGTTCAGGGCACTTTTTACATGTTTGTACATTTCTATGTCCTCCTACAATGTGTTGCTTAGCCCTGTAAATACCCCCTTTCATAACTTTTTCACAAAAATTACATGTTGTTGCATTCCTATCTTGTGGGTTTTGCAGGTGACAATAATTCCAAGCTGGATCCTTTGACATTTTTTCCTATCTATTTAGTATTTACAATGAGAAATAGAATGGAGTCAATGGAGTGATGGACCAAGTTAAATTCAGCAAACAACATTCACACTTTCAGCAAACACCATTCAAAAAGATGCATTCAAAATTTAAATAATCCATGTAGCAAAATTCAGCAGAACACAACAAAAAAAAAAAAAAAAAGAGAGACAGACAGCCTTCAAAGCAGAGATTGAAAAAAAAAAAAAAGAAAAAAAGAAAGAAAATACGGTGGAGTAGATGAAGGGAAAAAAAAATGAAGGCTAGAGAGAACAAAAACATAGTCTGAAATTTTACAGCAATTAAGATGCAACAGACAACAAAAAAAATAATAATTTTAAAAAGTCTTATTTTGTTCGGTATTTCTTTATTAAAGGGTGAGGTGGTGTACTGATTCTCCTACGGGTAATATAACACTGCAAACTATGTTTGCTGAAGACTGATGATGATGAAGAGCGTACAGATTTACAGCTATACACTAAGAAGTTGAAAATGATGGAAAAAAATACAACGAGAAAAAAAATACAGGCCAGAGAGAACAAAAAAAAAAAAATTATATATATATATATAGCAAGACACGGGAGAGGAGTAGATGAAGAAAAAGAAAGAAGAAAAAAAAAACAGAGACCCATAAGTACAAAAACAGAGATGGAGAAAAAGATAGAAGAAAAAAAAAAAGAAGACCCAGAAAAAGAAAGAGCTAAAAAAACACAAAACCAGATATATAGAGAGGAGGAAGAAAAAAAGAGACCCAGAAGAACAGAAACAGAGACGGAGAAAAAGAAAGAAGAAAAAAAAAAAATACAGAGACAGAGAAAAAGATAGAAGAAAAAAAATAAGAGACCTGAAAAAAAAAAAATACCAGTCTACTAGAGACCCAGAAAAAGAAAGAAGAAAATCAGAGAAATAGAGAAGAAGAAAAAAAGAGAAACAAAAAAAAAAAAAAAAAGGGCGAGATATAGAGATTAGAGCAAATGAAGAGAGAGAGAGAAGATGAGAACTGGAGAAGGAAAAAAAAAAAAAAAAAAAAAAAAAACTGACCTGTTAATTTGATAGACCCAGAAAAAAAAGAGAAGAAAATCAGAGAAATAGAGAAGAAGAAAAAAATAATAATAATAATTAAATACTGTTAATTTGATTCGGTGATTCCTGGCCGGACGAACTGGTAGCCCTCTCCTCTTCTCTACTCTTCTCTTCTCTTCTCTTCTCTTTCTCTCTTCTCTTTCTCTTTCCCACTCCCACACGTCTTTATTTCTACTGCAGCCTTTGCTCTTTGACTGATTTGTTTTGTTGACTGTTGGGAGACATTGGGTTGCCAAGTCATAAGAAAACTTTTCTTTTTGTACTTAAAGTTTCCATTTTGTACTCTTTCAGTTTCCAAAAGCTGTAACTATATATATATATAATAATAATATAAACTAAACAAGCAAACACAAAGTACACGTAATACATCAAACAAATATATGAAGGAGCATAGAATATATGAAGCGCGCCTAAGCGCGCCTCTTAAACTATCCAAGGCGCAGCCCAGGCGCGCGCCTAGTGAAGGTCGCTGCGCCTGGGCTAGCATGAGGCGCATGAGGTGCGCCTGTAGGCGCCTTAAGCCTGGGCGTGCGCCCAGGCGCGCTTTTAATAACACTGCCCTAAGCAGAGTTTTCCTTTTGTGTTCCTTCTTTCTCACATTTGAGTTACAGTCCCACTATCCCAGTAAGTGCAGCTCCATAATGGGGTTACAGTGTTACATTACTAAGAATATGGCTATAAAGTGTATTGTCAATTGGGAAAACCCTTCAAGTGCAGTGCACACCTCTATGCCCCAATGCTCATGCACATATAAACACAATCAAGGTACTAAGGATTTATTTTTTATTTTTTATTTTATAAGAAACAAGGACAATTAGTCTTGTATGAACAATAACTAGATTAAACCTTATTTCCAGAATAACAACTTTGGAAGAGTAGTTATTTACTTTATTTTGAAAGGAGATGTCTCTGATCCTTCTACAATTAAAATGCCTTCTTGCTGTTAGACCATGTAGTATTATCATTAATTTCCATTGTCTCTAGAGCAAAGGGTATCCGTTTTTTATTTTTTATTTTTTTATCCGTCAAGTATGGTTTATCAAATTATTCTCTCTGGAGACAGTTTTTCCTAACAAGTTGATGTAATTTAAGCATAGTTTCCTTACTGCTTGATGCCGAAAGCACAAATTATTCATCTTTCATGGGTTTCAAAGTTCCATTTTTTTTGTGTTCATTTTTCATTCCACTAAGTTTTCAGATGATACTGATTTTAGATAGAGCATTCATTGGGATTTCAATTTCTTCTTCATTTCCCCCCCCCCCCCCCCCCCATTATATTTAATTTTACCTACTTTAGATGCCGTGCTTGTTATTGTTGGTTTTTCGAATGACTGATTTTTTTATTTATGATGAAGTATTTGTTTAGTGAAATACCAATAATCTGATGGGGTGGGTTTTTTTTTTTTTTTTTTCCTAACTTTTTAGAACTATTCCTTCCATCTCTTCATTCTATTGTTCTAAATTCTGTGAAATTCCATGAATTAAGACGGTTAGGTTGCATGTTCTGTTGACTTTCTAATATAGAATTGTGAACTAGAAATTTAGTATGGATGGACTGCAATTTTTTGGTCTGGAGAATTGAAAGCAAACCTTCCATGTGCTAGATGACACACCAGGCTGCCATCATATAATTTTTGGAATATAAAAAAGATTGCCTTGTTAATAGAGCTTACCAATTTGGAAGATTGTGATTCAAGAATGACATATTGTGCTACTTCAATAACTTTGTAAATGGTATATTTTGCCTCTGCACAATTTTTCTTGTTAGTTAGTGGTACATGAAAAGTTTTAGAGTATATTACTTTCTATAGAATTTCACTGATTAATACCAGAATGTTAAGACATAAAAAAATTTATCAACTGATTTTTGAGGCCTTTATTTACTTATATGAAATGTAAGTGAAGAAATGATTCTACCTTGCACACACATTTAAATTTCATAATTTGATATAATGATAAAATAAAATAAAAATATAATATCACAATTTTGAAGCTTTTGGTTTATTTTTATGTGTTTAGAAAAGAGTTACTACTTTATGTTATCGAACAGTTCAAAAAAAAAAAAAAAAAAAATGCTCTAAGGTTAAAATAGTTATTTCAGTAGTATAAGTGCTTTAATAAATATTTTGCCAAACAGACAAAAAAAACTCTTATGGCATTGAAAGCTCTTCTAAAATGCAGTTCCTAAACACCAACACATAAGTCAAATAGAAGTGATATCTTCTTCTTCCCTTTTTCTTCTGCGTAAAAGCAGAAGTAAAAGCTATGCCAAACGGGACCTAACTCGTAAGTAGGAACGGCAGAGTTCTGAAGAGGGAGCACTTAAAACTGGAGTTCATGCAACCAATGAATAAAAATTTGATGGAATTACTGGAACTTGGTTTCACAGATAATCCTAAAATTTATGTAGTTCTCTAGAGATACCCATATAGGCTATATTGAATTCATGTTTGACCCAAGTTCTTTTTGGTAATAGATTTTGATGTTGCCTCTGAAAGCATTGAATTAGCGCCTTGGAAATGGAATTGGAA